CCTTGGCGCAAGTTACGAAACTCACGCTTCTTCATGGCCATTGCTCCTGCTGAAACATGGGCAGTACGAAAAGCCTGCTGAAACTGGTCCCATGTGATAGTGTCGACTGGGAAGGTGGCTGTGAAATTCTCCCATCAGGATGATGCGGGTCCTTCTAACTGATGTGCGGCAAACTTAACCTTCTCCACATCTGTGCATCCTGCTGTGGTCAACTCCCTAGCTATCTTGCGGAGCCAATTATCTGCTACTATCGGCTCGGTGCTACTGGAAAACACCGGCGGATTTAGCCTAAGAAAACGGGCTAAGTGGTCAACAGGTGGTGATGGTGGTGGGTTGTTGTTATTGTTCCCCTGATTCTGATTCTGAACTAGCAACTGCATCAAGGTGTTCTGTTGCTGGATCAACTGGGTGAGCTCCGGCGGAAAGGCAAATCCGGGGTCACGTCTCAGAGGCATCTGAGGGTTTTAGAAAAGACGAGATATAAGAATAGAGGGGGTCTAAAGAGAAAACACTACCCATATGCACATGAGGCAAAAGCACGCAATTCACTTCACTCAAACAACAAACAAAGGCATTCAATCGATCTAGCTATCGCAAAGTGCTCGGACTACTATATTTACATGGTGGACTACTACTACTGATGAGGGGGTCTACTAGAAATATTCTACGGCTGTAGACTCCATGATATCTGCTCATGCTTCATCAACATAGTCATCATCGCTACTATCTTGTTCCGAATCGGTGCCGTCAATGATGATGTAGTCTTCTGGGCTAATCTCCTTGGGTTCTTCGTCTTCATCTATGGGCATAGGGCCTCCCATAAATACCGCTATCTTCATAGTTAGGTCGGCATTCTTATCCACCAATACTTCAATTTCTTCTTCATAATCTTCACGTGTAGCCTTGAGTTCTTCCTCCAGTTCCTTGATTCTAGTCTTAGCCTTCTTCAGATCTATCATGTCGACGCACATCTGATTCTCCTGTCGTCGAATGTGCTAGTTTAACTCCTGGATAAAAGCTGCGATTGATCTATCCTTCCTGGTGCTAATCATCTCCCAGTGTTCATCTCGGCGCCCACAAATCTGGTAGATAGTATCCTTGAGATCCTTGTGGTAGACTTCTCCAATGCGTCCCATGGTGATGTGAGCTGCCATACTCTTTCCTAGACTCCAAGTTGGTGCATCAAAAGAAAACTCTATGGGCTCAGTGACTGGCATAAACGTCCTTCCTGGAACTTGAACTTGTATCATCCAGCGCTCTTCTTCAGGTAAAGTGGCGTTGTAGATTCCCGTGAAGCTTGGTACTCCTATGTTCAGGTATCTAGTGACTTCCTTCAAGTGGCGTCCAAAGGGTGTATCTTCATCTGGTTGTGTGAATTTGTTCCTTGCATCCGCCATCCTAAAAAGTAGAAAAGATGAGAAGTCAGAAGAGAAGAGAGTGAGTAGTGATCTAGGTCTTTAGCTTAGTGGTCGTGTCCTACAGTCAGCGTGTGCTCTGATACCATCTCTGTAGCGACCAGACCTCAAACAGTCTGATCTCTGTGCTCCGGTGTCATCCCTGGATCAGTAATGCTGACACCACACAGTACTCGGAGGATTTATAGCAGAGTAGCAATCACACACTTCTTACATCGAGTGTCTCAAAAGAGAACTTATTACAATAAATATGGCTTAAGGCCATCTAATAACGATAACAGCGGAAGGCTTGGAAGATAAGTGAGTCCATCAACTCCAACGGCATCACTGAGTATAGAACCACGACCTAAAATTCCTTAATCGTCGTCTGAAAAGTCTGCAACATTAACGTTGCAGCCCGAAAACGGGTCAGCACATGGAATATGCTGGCAAGGTAACACATAGAGAGTAAAGGAATGAAACAGCTATACTATATGCATATTTGGCTGGTGGAAAGCTCTATGGTTACAGTTTTTGCGTAAAGCCAATTTTTCTCTACTTCAAAGGAATAAATTTAATTACTATCATGGTGGTTGTTAAACATTGAGAATGGTTGACAGTATTCTCAATCCCAATTAAAGTAACATCATTAAACCCAATAAAATTAACTTTAGAGTAACATGTTGAGATTCACATGAAAATCCAAGTACTAGATACTCAAGATGTCCATAACCGGGGACACGGCTAACTATGATTAGTTTATTACACTCTACAGAGGTTTGCGCACTTTTCCCCACAAGACTCGATCGCCTCCGTTTGGTTTCTCGCACTACAGGGTGTTTGAGAAGACGGATGACCGAGACATAGTCTTTCAGAAGCACTAGCACCTTACGATCGGGTAGACCGTACCACCTACATCCCCTACATCTGCTAGTCTACCACTGTAAGAGTTCACACAATTTAGTCAACTATGCCAGAGCCCATAATGGCTTGTGGCTGCACACGGAAGTTTCTAGTATGAATAATCTCATGATCCCTTTGAGCCTGGGTGGCGGTCCAAAAGAAAAACAGGCAAGTCCTGGAAACCCCAGGTGCCTCAATCCACCTAGATGTGTGTTTAAGTTGCCACCTTAGATAAACCATTAATTATCAATCTCACATCTGTCATGGATTTCACTCACCCAATCCACGTCTACTAGCATAGCATGGCATAATAAGCAAACGTAGAAGTAACTCCCAAATGTTTGATAATAAACAGGTAATAGGTACTACCTCATCTACTTCCCATCCCACAATTTAATTAGATCATAATCATGCAATGTGTGAAAATTGATCTAATGCAATAAAACTGGGTTGTAGAAAAAAGGTATGATCAAAGTGTTACTTGCCTTGCTGATGATCCGCGAAACCTAGAGATTCAACGTAACAGGCGGCGCACTCCGGGTATTCTATCGCAGACAAACAAACAAGCGTACAATAAGTACTCATCTAATGCACAGATAAAACTCAAATAGAAATCTAACCAGAAAGTTCAACTTAAGAACCCTGGTTGGCAAAAAGAATCAAATCGAACGAAGCAAAAGAAGTCAAACGGCGAAAGAAAACAACTTCGTTCTAGTAATCTGGATCTAAATCAAATTTTACAGTAGCAAAAACATGTTTAAGTTGATTATTCGGAAAGAGGGTTTCGAGATGAAACTCCAGGCGCTTGAATCGCCTGATTCCGATAAACGAGCGAAAAGTTATACTAAAACGAAAATCGGATCAGAAATCGCGATCAGAAAATAACCGTGAAAAACCCGACGAAAAAGAAAAACGACGAATAGATTTTTTTTAAACGGCATGGAAAACAAGGCGGCGGCGAACCTCGGGCGGTGCGCTGCTCCGGCGAGTCGGCGGCGAGGCGGCGACGGCGGGCGGCGACGGCGGCTAGGGTTAGGGTTTCGGGGCTGGGCGGCTGGGCTCTCTCTCGGGCCGGGGCGGCGGCTTATAAAGTCTTGGCCGACGGTGTCCTGGCCGAGTACGGCCCATAGTCGGTTCCGCGTTTTTTTATAATAATTCCGCTCGGAAGAAAAATAAAAAGAAATACTAAACGAACTCCAAAAATCACGAAATAAATTTTCCCAGATTTCTAAAATCAAGCCTGATAAAGTGAACATTTATCTGGGCCTAAACTACAACTTTTGAAAACGCGCATTTTTCCTAAATTCAAATAAAAAATACCGAAAAACTCCGAAATAAATCTTATTTGATTTTTTTAAATCCTCAATATTTCTATATTTTGGGAAAGTCATTTTATTCCCTCTCTCATATTTTTGTAATAGAACTAATTGATGATAAAATAAATAAAATCAAATGATCCTGTTTACATAATTTGAGAAAACTCAAATATGTAAATAACGAAATCCCCAATTCTCTCCGTGGGTCCTTGAGTTGATTAGGATTTTCTAGGATCAAAACCAAAAGCAAAATAAAATATGATATGCATGATGACCTAATGTATAACATTCCAAATTGAAAATTTGGGATGTTACAGAAAATGAAACAAATAATCACAAAAGCTGGACATAAATTCTAAATAAATTATGATATTCCATAATATGCAAGAAAGAGCATCTAATAGTGAAATTTTCTCAAAAAATGAAGTATCTAAGATAGAATCAATTAGTGACATTGGTATTACCCTTAGGGAAGATAGAAAATAGAAAATAAATTAAAACAAATGATTAAAAATCTTGCACACAATTTGTAGAAAAATGCACATTTCTGTAAATGCAAATATAAATATATAATAGTGTGCATTTCACAGTTCGATATAATTTAGACATATATTGCATTATACATATGTATATACTAACACACACCCAACATTTACACATATGCATACACATAAAAGAAGACTCAAGATAGAAAAAAAAACAGAAACAAACACACATAAAAAGTAAAAAAAAACGCACCCAACATTTACACATAAACATAAAAAATTTGACTCAAGATACAAAAAAATCCCAGAAACAAACACACATAAAAAGAAAAAAGCATGAACCGGTTTTCTTTATATTACTGTCAAATATCAAAAGCATCATAGAATTTGTCTTCGAATTTAAATTAACACGACTCGACAAACACGCCCACTAAAATACTCGGCCGCCTGTCAGACGTCTAATGATTAATACTCACGCTAATTAAGAAAGTTTGCATGCATCGGCAGATCGGCTGCATGCACATGGTAGCGCTCGTCACGTGCATGAAGTGCTGGGAAAAAAGGACTGATCCTAAATTGTTTTTCAAGCGACTGAAGAGTAGCTAAAGTGAAGAAAAAACACTGCATGCGTCTCCATACGAGGGGCTCCTCTTCGCACGAACCTCGAAGCTTCGGAACCGTATATCTCCAGATGCGATTGCTCCCACACGGCCACACGCGTCCCCTCCCACTGACCACCTGTCCCCTCCGCCTCCAGCGTCGCCGCCTACTGCCTAGCGCTGCAAAGAGCAACCCCCAACTCCAGCCGCTCCTCACTAGCTTGCGGAAGAGTGCAGCTCGCCGCGAACTCGGGGATCACCACTCAGACAGAGGAGAAAGTCAGCCTCTTGGAGACCTGGACCATGCTGCCAACTCGTTTCCCTAGCCGCGGTGCCGTCAACGCCGCGGGGCTGGAGACCCTGCTGCCGGCAGCTTCCCGCGCCGTGCTCTCGGAGTTCATAGCCACCGCCGTGTTCGTCTTCGCCGCCGAAGGCTCCGTCTACGGCCTCTGTACGTGAACCTGCTAGCACTCTCTCGTATACATGATCATCTCGCGGTGCTGTGTGTGAAGAATTTTGTTTGGTTTGTATGGCAGGGAAGATGTACAAGGACACGGGCACGCTGGGCGGCCTGCTCGTGGTGGCGGTGGCGCACGCGCTCGCTCTGGCCGCGGCGGTGGCGCTGGCGAGCGGCGCCTCGGGCGGGCACGTCAACCCGGCCGTCACGTTCGGCGTGCTCGTCGGCAGGCGCATCTCCTTCGCGCGCGCCGTGCTCTACTGGGCGGCGCAGCTTCTCGGCGCCGTGCTCGCCGCCGCTCTCCTCAGGATCATCTCCGGCGGCGTGGTAATTAAGCTGTTCTCTTCTCAACAAGCGCTTTTTTTTTCCTGCACTGCAGTTGCCTTCGATTAAGTTGTTTCTAGTTCAAGTACATTTGTCTGAAAAAGTCACCACGGTCACAAGTTCAATTAGCTCAGCGCCTATTGTTACTGTTGCACAAATTGAGCCAGTTTCAGAGCCATCAGGTATTCAGATCGCAGAGCTAGAAACATTTACTCAGCATGGCACCGTTGCTCGGCTACGTTTTGGATGTTCTTGAGCCTACCAACAAATTCAAACAAGCGGTTGCGTATTTCCTCTTGGCGAGAGTTATCTGCACATACATATATATACACGTCATCATGTCCGCCACGTCTCATTTCTATGTGTCTTGTCCTGCAGCGCCCCATGGGGTTCACGCTCGGCCACGGCATCCACGAGCGGCACGCCCTCCTGCTCGAGGTCGTCATGACGTTCGGGCTCATGTACACCGTGTACGCCACCGCCGTCGACCGGAACCGCGGCGGCAACGTCGGCGCCATCGCGCCCATCGCCATCGGCTTCGTCCTGGGCGCCAACATCCTCGCAGGCGGCCCGTTCGACGGAGCCGCGATGAACCCGGCGCGGGCGTTCGGCCCGGCACTCGTCGGCTGGAGCTGGCGCCACCACTGGGTCTACTGGGTCGGCCCGCTGATCGGCGCCGGGCTGGCCGGCGCGCTGTACGAGTTTGTCATGGCCGAGCAACCCGAGGAGCCGGCAGCTGCGGTCAGGCGTGAGCTGCCCGTGCCCGCCGAGGATTACTGAGCGGCATGCGTCGTGCATCTACTGTAACTAATTAGCACCTGCATGCAAGCATACTATGTTGGATGCAGTACATATTACGGAAACGGAAATAAATTCAAATAAAGAAGAGAGAAGGAGTCATAGTCTGATTCCAAACCTGTTAGAGCATCTCCAACAGGCGCGCCAAACTAGCGCCGCGCCGCAAAATCCCCCGTTTTAACGCGCGCAACCGGAATAGTTGCTCCAGCGGGCGCGCGAAAACAACGCGCGGCATACGTAGTCCAGCACGCGGGCCGAAACGCAATCGCGCGCCGCATATTTGCTGCGTTCACTTCCGCGCGCTCGCTCGCACCTCCCACCCCCATCCATACGTGTCGCGCGCGTTGCTGGAGCGGCACGCGCGCTGCATTTTAGCGCGGTTGCTGGAGCCAGCGCTGCGCGCCGCGCCAAACCAGATGATGGACGCACGCTATAACTGTTTTTTGCGCGCGGCGCGTTCGGCGCATGTTGGAGATGCTCGTAAGGGTACTTCGTGTTCGAGTCCAGCACCGTGCGGGCAATAAGTAGGAGTAGTCTAGATACCAAGCCTCGACTAGCGCGCCGGACGCAATGTCTTGGTCTGAGCTCCCAGAGGACCTCGGCGACTCGATCCTCCGACGCCTCCGCCGCCACGATGATCGCGTCTGCTTCGGCGCCGTCTGCCGGCAGTGGCGCTCCTGCGCACGGCGGAACAGCCCTCCGTCGCAGTTCCCGTGGCTCGTCTTACCGGACCAGACCTTTTACAGCTTGCCCGACCCGGCTTTCCGGCCGCTGCCACTCCGTCTTGACTTCCATCGCCAGGTACCGCATGCCCAGAGCTCAAAAGAAACAAAGAAACATGAAAAATCCAATGAAAACCCTAATAAGAAACAATGGAAACCAAAGAAAAAATAAAACAAAAAAAACCGAAGAAACAAGTGCAAAAGAATGAAAAATAGTGAAAACCAAAAAACAAAGAAAAAAATGAGAAAAAAGAATACAATGAAAACCATGAAAGAAACAAACAGAAATCAAAGAAACTCGAAAGGAAAAACAAGAAATTCAAAATTGTAACGATAAATAGACAGGGAAGAAATAAGAAAACAAAAAAAAAATTCCGAATGAACACGTAAGCAAAGAGATCGACCAACGAAGAAGGAGCGAGTAACACTCTGTTGGGCCGGCTCATACGCCTGCGCGCTGCTAGTCTCGCTATAAGCGAGACATAGCATTCGCGCTGCACCTCTGCGTTCGCCCGCGGCTCCAGAAAAGATCCCCTCCGCCTCCGACCCCGAGGCAACAAGGCAGCTCGCATTTCGCCGCTCACCGAGCCCTCGAGGCGCGCTATCCATGGCCACCTACTGCCCATCCGGCGCCTCCGCGCTCCTGCTCTCCGCCCCGCGAACCCGCGCCGCCGTAATTTCCAGCGCCTGGCACAGAAACCCTCGATTGCTCAAGGCAGAGCTGAGCCGCGCCGTGCTGATGCGTTTTCTCTAGTTTCCGCAGAGGTTTCCCGGTCCGGCTTCCGGGAGGAGCTCTCCCTGTGCAGCTGCTCGGCGGCAGAGGAGGGGGAGGGGAGCGGTGGGTGCCGTGCGAGCATGCTTCAATCCTTTCGGGGACGAACGCATCCTCCGGGAGGCCTTGAAGGTAAATTCTGTGTGAAGCTGGGCTGGTATTGGGGTAGTGGAGTTGGTTCATCGGCTTGGCGTTTGTGTACAGTTGAGCATACGGTTCCTTGATGCGCGTGTTTGCTCTATTAGATTGTTAACTGGCCATTAGATTTAGATCCATCACTTATGCTTAGGTAATCTCTCGTAGTTGCAGATTTGTAGAATTTCGAGTCATCAAAGAGTTCCTTTCCTGGCATCTGTATAGAGAAGAGATAGTTTATCACAATTGCTTAGTTCTCTTATCCAGACAATAATTCGCTACTTCGATGTTCATTCAGTGAAGGAGCACAAAAGAATTGACACATAGGGTTTACTCTTAACTGCAGTTGTTATTATCTTCTGGGTGAAGGGGATAAAAAAAGTAACAACTTCCACTTATATGTGTGCATGATTCTCTTTCTGTAGTAAATGTGTGCTTCCTAAAGTTCTTGCTTGCTGCCATAGAATCTCCCAACTTCATAAAATTTGGGGGTAGAAAGTTTTGGAGAAAGTGCAAACAAAAGGTAGAAAATTAAGGATGACTAGTTAGAATTTCAGGGGCCATCACATTGACTATAATCTCTCGAATTTACAGTTTGTTGTTTGTTCAAGCAATAACATATGTTGATGTTTTGCATGCCTCGTGCGTAGGAGCCAGTTGCATTCATGGGTGGCGTGTTTGCTGGTCTCTTAAGGCTTGACCTGAATGAGGATCCTCTTAAGGAGTGGGTTACTCGAACGGTAGAGGCTTCTGGAATAGCTGAGGAGAACAGCACCGAGGAATCAAATGAGGGAGCTCAAAATGATGGACCCCAGCAAATTGAGATTGAGTGAGGTGCATTAGTTGCCTTTTGCCCTCCTTTACAGCCTTACTTGTAACTTATCCTGAATATTTGTAATATCTAAGCAATAAAATGCTTGCCCATATTTTTGTGTTTATAGTACAGCTCTAAGTCAAAATATTAGCACATTGTCATTATTTGCAAACTGTGCCTCTTCTTAGTGGGTATAACACTAATACTACATCTTATTAGTTCCCTTCGTATTTTGGGTCAAACTTTGACCATATATTTAACTAGCAAAATGCAAGTTATATACCACAAAAACAGTATCGTTGGAAACATCTTTAGAATACAAATCCAACAACAAGTTTTTCATGGCATACAACTATATTTTGCTAATCAAATATATGGTCAAAATTCGACACAAAGTGTGATGGGCACCAATAAACCCGGAGGGAGGAAGTAAGAAATTACTGTGGGCAGAACAAATTGAGATGATTGAAACGGAAAAAGGAAACATTCACCCATAGAGATGCATACTTCTATTTGTGAGTTGTGGTAAAATGTTGCAGTTCTAAGAAATGCAGCTTTTGGCCTTCTGCTGAGACTTCATTATCCCCTTTTTAAGCCGTATCCCTTTTGAGTTACTTTTGGAATATTTTTACTTATGGGGTTGAAGCAGTTGTATATGTTGGCAATTAAGCAAGATAGCCAGAGAGTGAATTTCTCGGCCATTCTCTGTCTTCTTTTTGGTAGTTTACTTAACTTCGCTTATTTTCAATGCTTTTGCATCCTTTCTTCTCTTTGTGTTTGCATCGTCTTTTTTTTTTCGGTTTCATTGTAGTTGGACTTTGCGCCTTCTCGGCATTCTTCTTGTAATGAAACATGACACATGCTTGGTGGTGTGCTCGCGAAAATTTTAGCAAGATAGCCATATGAACATGGGATGTCTTGTTTCTTCAGTACGTGTAGTAATTCTGGCCCTGCTTTCATGCTATTTTTCGAACTGTTGTCATTTTCAGACCCACAAAATGAATAATGTTTTTTCAGCAAAAAGAGAGGACAGAACCCATCACAGCGATTGATGGATAACTGGATGATCAAACATAGCCATGGCCTTTCAGTTAGTAGGCACTTTCCTGTTCAATTTTGCGCGCATTGAAGATATTATGATCTAGTTTTGGAAGTCTCAAAAATGCATTTATTTGCACTGGAGCTTGACTACCAAAACAGTGTCTTTCATCACCTTGTGCTGTCCTTCATGATCTTCGTCTAATGTGAGCTTGACTATTAAAAAATAGTGTGTTTCTCATCATCTTGTGATGTCTTTCATGGTCTATGTCTAATGTGACAGAAGTATATTCTTGGCCCATGCATCATGTGGCTTCGAGTAAAGTGTTAGGTTGAGTCTAACCATGGAAAAAGGCTCTCTTGCATCTTTTGCTTCCCCACCTAGTCTCTATTCTAGATTGAACGTCTTCGGATGCATCAGTTTATTATGCTTATGCCTAATCTTAATACTGGCTAGTTACTTCAATTACCTTACCCCTGACATGCGATAAGTATTCTGTATTAGGTTTGACATGGATATTATGTAATGTTTTATCACTTTAGACTTTAAGACATAAGTAGTACACTAGTTCAGAGTTAAAATTATTGCATTGTGCATGACAGGTTGACAGCCATGACTTACTAGAAATAGTAGTTATTGCATGGATTCATGACATGTATGTTTTGAAGAATCGTTTCTAGGGGGGTTAAGAACTGCATATGGAAATGTAGTAGTCTGCCATATTAATACCCTTTACAAAGGGGAATTTTTAGCCCACCAAACTGCTTTTGAGGAGCATTACTGTTGGACATTGTTTTTCTGTGCACTCAAGAAAGTAAGATTTGTAGTTCATTTCTGATTTTTGAAGTTGGCCTGAGATAAAGGTCTTGAGACTCGATACGTCATTCTTAGTTTGAATGTAGTTTCTGGACATTGGTTGACCAATGGTTTCTTAGCCAGATTCTTGCTGAAATAATCTATGTTTTCAAAATATGTTGCATGTGTGTTGTGCTATTCTAAAATAAGTATGTGGACATTCGTTGATCGACTATTTTGTTTTTTGCAAGGAAGAACGTGTGTTTTATTTTAATGATAGTAAATTTTTACTAGGTTGCTGTGGGCATATATACTCTTGGTTTAATCTAGGATGGCGCTATTTATATAAATTACTTCTATGCTTCACACAGATTTCTCCAATGAGCAGTAGTTTTCTGTTTAACCTTTCAAAATAATATGCTTAAACATGTGAAGCCTTACCTGAGGTGGTCTGTTTTCCTTAAGTTTCATGGAATATTGTTACCTGGAGAAAGCTGTGGACACTGCCATTTTGCTAGGTCAATGAACAATGAAGTCTTGCCACCAATATTTTCAAACTGGGAGAAGCATAGGCTTGCGTGTCTTGACATGACAGTGCAGACGATGGTGTTATTTCACAAGCCTTAACAATTCATGTTCCTTCAGCACTGTACCTTTATCAAGATTGTCTTCAGCACTGTACCTGTTTTCACTGTTCGATTCCAGTTTCCTCGGTTGGTTCGGTTACTAAGTTTATCCAGACAATCATGCTGTCGTCACGTTGCCCTAACACTAATAATGTTAATGCACCAAGTATTGGAGATTGCTGGATTTGGGAGCTGACCTTGTCGATTTCTTGGGCCTTAAAAAGAAGTTCACCCATTACGAAGACCTGTCCAAAACGATTATCTCTGCTTCCTATCTTTTATGAGCAACGAATGTGTCGTTCCATATAAGGTTCTGCCTTTCATGTTCTTAGTATTGGGTTTATCTCCTTTCTCCTTTTTTTTATTGTGTGCATATGTGGACTGGAAAGTAGGCCATCATATTTGCCTCCATAACATGCTGTTTGGCTTTTCTCGTCAGTGGTCTTGTCACTTGTACAGGAGCGAGCACTCCTGTATCTACATCATTATAAGCATTGACTAATACTAATCAGCTCTGGTACGGTGGCGGTTGTTCTGTGTCTGCTGGGAGATCTGTGACCTCTAACAAATGCCCAATGCCTTGCCAACTGACAGTTTACACGATGCCTTAGGCCGGTTGCTGTTAATAATGCATAAATGACCCACGTGTATCTCTCTGACGAATTGTCCGTTTAATTAGAGCCAGTAGACTTCCCTTTCCAATTGGAGGCCTCTGTTTCAAGCCCAAACTTTTCTTAGTTCGACTTCGACGTAGTCGGATCCCGGTTTTTTGAGTGTTTCTGGTTGATAATTCGGTTTAGCTGTGCAGGTTGTTGGGCGGTGCTTTCCAACTAATAATCGAATGATGGACAAGGATCTAGCTGCACTGGCCTGAAGGGCATCCTTCGCTTGTAAGTTTCCGGCTGCAACTTGCTTGCGAGCTGTGTTATTATGGTTGTGGAATGGTTGGCATTCCAGTGCCAGTAGCTGTTATCGTCGCTGTTTTGACCAATGACGTGAACACAAGTGATAAGTCATTGCAACTGCTATCTGCCTGACGATGACTTCATTTCCTCCCTAGTTTGTTATGCTTCTTGTTGGACAAGGATCGCCTTTGAATGCCGACCGAGAAACGCTGTGAATTCTCATCCAGAAATTTTCCTCGAAATAGGTATATGAATTTGGACTTCAGTTGGTACTGGTAGCAGTAATCAATTAGGAGATAAGAGTACCAGTTGTGAATTCTCATCCAGAAACCTTGTCGATTTCTTGGGCCTTAAAAAGAAGTTCACCAATTTCTTGGTACTGGTACTGAAGTGTTGCAGATATGAGTATTATTATGCCTTACATGTAGCATGAAGCACAGCACACACATCATTTTCATTGGTCACCGCAAATTTGGTTTTAATTACATGGTTCTCGTTTGCAAAGTTTTCCCTCCTGAGGAAGAGTTTCCTTCTAGAGTTGGACTCTTCATCATGTACCAACATTTTATATATTTGAATTGCAATTATGCTTCTTCCCCCGGTGCTCGTATGTGTGAACTTGACTTGCTACAGTGAAGGAGGAACTCTTCGACACCAAGCATGGCTGAAAGCTCTTCGACACCGGGGGTCATGGGATACAGTTCAATTTCGTCCTAATAAATGACAATGTTGTGATCTTTTAAATCAGTCAATCAATCAAGCGATCAAATATTTTCTTTTATCATCTTCATAGTTTAGTTCTCCAGTTCTCCTCGAGCTTAAGAGACCATAATACCACAGACACCTGGCTCGGGATAGAAACAGTTCCTTGCAATCAAACTACGCAGACATAATCAGGGCGGCATCATGAGAAGCCACTGTCAGTACACCTGTCTTTTGGTAGTACTGTGGAAGAAGAGCTACTGCTCATGCAATGCAAGTGACCTGACCATTATCGTGCCATTGTCGTGCCCAAGTGAAGCACCATTAAGCATTCATCCCTGATATTTTGCTAGGAAGGATGCCATCTGAAACCCACAAATCGTGGCACCCCCATGGCTGTTTCGTCCACGGCTCCTCACACGCAGTGTCACGCTTCACGCCCCACCCCGTACGTTCATCGCCATGTTGACACGCATTTGATGTTCACAGTAGTTAGGTAGCCCATGCAGATGGCTCCCGTTTCCATGCCATGCCCCATGCATTACCGATGACTTGACTTCCTATATAAGAGAACAGTGTTACCATGACCTCAACTGCACCGGTAAGTAACAAGTGGCGAGTGATACTGTAACATCACATCACAGGGTGACGGTGTTCGGCCGAGCTGGTCGATCGACACGGCGGCCAGCATGAAGGCGTCCTGCTTCCTGGTGGTGCTTCTGCTCGCCGTGGCCACGGGGAGCAGGCTCTCGCTCGCCGCCCGCGAGGGCAGCACCCTGGGCGAGCTCATCGCCAAGGCCGGCAGCTTCCTCACGTCGGCGGGCCGCGCGGGGGCGGACGGCTGGCGGTCCGCCGCCGCCGCGGAGGTGGACGCCTCGGCGAAGAAGGGGCACGGCCATCCGGCGGGGGCGAAGAAGCGGCTGAAGAAGTCTTCCGTGAACTGCATCCCCGC